CTTATAAGTCAGATTTAAAAATTTATCGTCTATTGCATTCTATACTTCAGTAAACTAGAATACTTAGAAATCTAGAACAGGCTTAGGAGTGTTATGTGTTATCAATTTTATATTATCAAAAACACATAAAACATGAGTTTTACTTGGAATTGATATTTGAAAGATTCTTAATAAATTATAACAAAATTATATACATTGTTAATATAGTAAGACGAGGGTGTTATTATTTTTAGTACTACTCATTTACTGTCAAAACTCATCCTCCCGTCATGTTATAAACATGTCAACTTCCGAAATATTGGCCAAAAAGTTGTTATCGACCAGACATTTCCAAACTAGAACATTTTCTATTTTATAAGCCAGTTAAATATTTATGTTAATGGATAAACATAAACAATACTGTACGATTGAATAATTGAGGAAAACATGTATCTAAAAGTAACCAATTAAAAATGTCTAAAGGATGCTTTTAATATTAATAATTAACTTTAAAAATATATTTTTATGAGACTTAGGGTCTAGTCTCCTTTAAAACAAAAATAAAATTTTGTCATAAACGCATGAATGTTCTAAACTTAATAATAATTTTAAATTGTCCTATAATTGTTTACTGCTTAAATTGATACCGTTTTCGCAATGTTATAATTATAGCGTTCTTCATTTTGAAAAATAATTGGAATATTTGGCGTTCACGGAATGTTTAAAATGTTTCTTGCATTATTTTATTAATCATTATATACTTTTTAGGTCTTTCCCTTATTTTTTAAGGGCGATAACTTATTTTTTTTCAAATGGCAAAATACATTTAAATGTCTTTTATGATAAATAATAATCTAATTAAGAAAATGACTAATCGATAACTACTAAGCATAGATTATTGGTGAGTCGTTGCTCTTTTTGCCATTACAATTATTTTTCATTGCATTCCCCTTCTCTATAAATTAATATTTCAATCTCATCCTCGTAAAAGTTTCAAAAGAAATAAAATGTAATAAAATTGTACGAAACAGTACCAGTATTAAATCCCTCTATAAAATTTAAAAAAAATTGAAGATTTATATTTAATAAATTAATTAAATTTTGAATATTTCAATTGTAACATCTATTTAAATAACAAAAGTTACATAGGAATGATTACTGAGACTTCTATTTAAATCATTTATATTTTATAAATTGTAATTTTAATGCGAAAATTTATTGATAAAATAAAATATGTATATTTAAATATTGTATCACTTGTTTATCATTTAGTAAAAAAAAGATTTCTTCTGTTAATATGATTTATCATTATTCTCCTTCAAATAACAATCATTGACGCATTCCAAAGGTTCATAAATAGACGAACAAATATATAACTATATTTGAAGTTTCATTTTTTAAAATACTAGCAATTGTAGATTTAATCAAGAGGTTAAGGGGGATATTGAGCGTAGGAAGAATTAAAAGGGGCTTGAGGGCTAAGTCTTCCAAATTTTCAATTATCCTCCACAAATTCAGAGGTATTATATGCATTATTATATAAAAATTATTTTCTGGATGGAGGAAAATTAAATTTAGCCCTACAAAAAAAATTGACTACCCTTCAACTATAAAAGTGAGGATAAATTTTTCCAATTTCCATATATTTAATTTAATTTTAGAAGGAATTAGATGAAATTTTCATTTCAGTAAAAAGTAATTTTGGTCAAATATATAGTTATATATGAATAACTACATATAATTATATATATAAAATAATATCATTTCATCATTATTTGATCATTTTATGAGAGACCCAAAATATACTTTTTTTAACCCATTTTTGCTCAGTTTACAAATCTCCAATTATATTTCTCCATTATCTCTTTTTTTGGAATTATTAATACTTAGAATGGAAGTGTTTATACGTGAATGAACGAGTTTAAAAAAAAAAAAATTTTATCAAGTTATTATTGATGTCAAGTTTAATTTTCAAGTTTAGACTGATGTAACAAAATAGAAAATTTTATGAGAATTTCATAAATTGTATTTTTTAGATTAATATGTGATCAGGAATATATTTAATTACTATTAACAATAAATTTCGATAAAATCACAATTTTTTTTGCAATGTTATCATAATAAATGATTTAAATGCAAATCTCTGTAATCATTCCTATGTAACTGTTGTTATTTAAATAGATGTTACAATTGAAATATTCAACATTTAATTAATTTATTAAATATTCAATAATTATTTATATTTATATAGTGCACATAATACAATCTGCTTATTACGCATTTTTTTAAATAAAATTGTTGCGACTAACGTCGTAAAAAAAATAGAGAAGAAAGAAATCGACACAGCGAACGGTTCGTTCTACAGGTGGCGACAAGCCGTTTAATGAAAGATAAATGTTAACACAAAAAGAATAAAGGAAAACCAAAAGTGACAGAAATACTAATTATTAGACAATAACACTGAGATGTAGTTCTGGACAGGCGTCCAAAATGATCGAAACTCTGGTGTCGGTTTGGTTGGTTATACGGACAATGAAAAAAACAAATCGGTAACGGTGTCACGGAGATGACTAACTCGACGTATTATTGCGGCGGGTATTCGACGCTGGGCATTTATTGGACTTTACACCACAACGATAAGGCGTGTGTGTAACGGTCCGGTTTACAGTGAAGCGGTGGCTGAGAATGAGCTGACAAGACCGCGGGTGTCAAACCGTACGCTTTTCCCCACTTCAACCAACCGCACTTACATCTATGTTTTAGATAGGATACTCACCACCTCTCCTATCACATTATCGTTTATTGTCAATTCAATATGGTGATAAATAAACAAATCAAAATAATTCATTTTTTTATTAAAACCTTAAATATTTTCCTTTGATTCAATATACATTTTTTGAAAATTTAACTCTTTACTTGACTACAGAGAGGGATCCAAAATAACAATTTTTATACATAAATTTAACTTTATCAACTTAATTATTGAAAATATTCCAGAAATACTCAGAGCTCTAAATATATATTAAACTAAAACGTATAATAAATTGTATAAGTGCAAAAAAAAAAATTTTGGAAAATGACCGCCAAATAAAAACAAAAATGTTATTTTTATGTATAAATCATTGTTTAAAATGTTAACTTTTGATACTTAAACGTGCACTATTTATGTTCAAAATGCACAAAACATTACAATTTTAGCCTCGATGCGAAGCTGGGAGAGTATTAATTCTACTATAATGTGTTTCTTTTTGGGTCTGCTACCACTTTTTCTCAGCTCTCACCAAACGAATTTCTTTCAACGACATGTCAAAAGATCACAAATTGTATCTAGTCGAAGACATTAATCTCAACAATTGAAAAAATTTCCCTCGTTCCCCGTAAATGGGGGAAACCTCTAAAAAAATTACAATTTTAAAAATCGCTAATTTTCGAAAATTTTTCAACTTTTATTACTAAAAACAGCAATAACTTTTTCAATAATGAACATATCAATATAATTTTTTTTTATAGATGCTTGATGTCTTTACCTATCATTTGATTTATTTTTTTCATAAATTTAACCCTTTACATTCCCACAGGGGGGGATTTAAAAGTTTTTTTACAAAAAGTTAACATTTTTAACTTAACTATTGAAAATGTTCCGGAAAGTCTGACACTTTTATAAATATCTTAAATTAAAGCTATTATAATATACTTTATTATGCTATAAATTTTTGAAAAATGTATGGATCAATATAATTTTTTCATGAGAAGTAGTATTTATATACATCTCTTATTCGACATACTGTTTTTTTAAATCATACCATTTCCCTATATACGAGGGGGGTTCTAATCTAAAAAATGCATATAGAAAGTAAAACTTTTTCAACTTGACTTTTTAAAGTATTCCGGAAAGTCTGACACTTTTATATATATCTTAAATTAAACGTAATGTAATATACTTTATTATAAAAAAAAAAAAATTGACCTCTGGAATTGTCTTCGTGGTGAAAATGGCTACCGAATGTTATTTTCGTGTGAAAATTCTTTATTTTTTACATTTTCATCTTTATAATGCTATAACTTATTAAAAAGTGTATGGATCAACACAACTTTTTTATGAGAAATAATATTTTTTAATAATCTCTCTTTTATTCGACATACTTAATTTTAATCAGGATATTAATAAGGAACTAGCAGATCATGTAGATTTTGGAATAATCCACCAATTTTTTAAAATTAATCACTATCTAAAGATTTGCTTCAAAATGTTTTTTTTTTTTTTATAGTGATTTTAATCACTGTCAGATATCATTATACTTGATCCAAATATGTAACGTCACCACTGTGCCGCGACCTCCCTTTGCTGGGGTTCTTTTTATACGTGTTTGCCATAAAAATAACAACTACTTTAAAACTTTTTTATGATTTCTCCATAAAAACTACAATACTGAATTATTTAATATCAATTTCATTCTATCTTTCATTTCTATAATAAATATTTATTTAAATATTACACTTATAATCAGGATATAAAATAGAAAATAGCAGTATATTTTGCTTTTGGATAATCCACTAGTTTTTTTAAATTAAACACTATCTATAGATTTGCATCGAATCGTTTCTTATGGTAGTGATTTTAATCACTGTCTGATCATACTATACTTGTCCCAACTAACCAACGGCCACAATGTGCCGCAACCCCACTGTGGTAACGTTTATTTTTTTTAATTTGCTATTTTTTACCATTATAAAGATACATATAATATAAATTTTCGTTAATTAGTCAAGAAAAATATAATTTTTCAAACTGTAACCATATAACACTGTATTTGTATTTAAATGTGTTTTTTATTTTTCGAATAGTAAATTTAAACACTAGGTGATATCATTATTGAAATAATTTTAAATATGTGATTTATGAAGACTAAATGTAATAATGTCAAATGCATTAAAATCTGTTTTTTTGTTTTTACGAAAAACATTATTTTAGAATAAACAATTAATATTTGCAATATTTTAGTATAAATTGCAACACAACATACGTAAAATTATTCAGATAAAATTTAAACATTTATATAATTATTTTTTAATTTGTTATTTTCTTAAAATCATTGTAATGCATTTAAAAATTATACTAATCTTTTGTGCATTATGTTTTTTTACCGATACAATGGTAAGTATTTATTTAACTATTTATTTATTTTTTTTTAACAAATGTAATATATAAATCTTTAAAGAGTAAGGGACTTAATGCAATACAAATACAATGCTTGCAAATATTGGTAAAAAACTATAATGATAAAGAAATAGTAAACAAAGTGATAAATGCTTTTAATGTCGATAAAGAATACAATTATAATCATAACGGTAATTATTACGTATAATTTTTAGCTTTATTTTTATCATAAACTTTTATAAAGAAAGATTCTATTAGAATTAAACTCTCAATTTCTCATAATTTTTATGTAAATTTCATTTTTGGCTTTTGTTAGTTACATATGTAACTCAATGTAACTGTTATAAAATATTATACAATTTTTCTCCTTATATGTTATGGAGGTGTACATTTTATTTTTTTCAAATAGTAACATACATATTTCAATAGCCAATTATAAAGAAAATTATGTGATTAAGAACACCATTGATCAATAACATCATTTGGACTAGTAATTCAAAAGGGAAATGTCCAGTGTTAAAAAAAGCAGGTATCGCCCTATTACCAGTCAATACTTTAATTTGTTAATAACTTCTGAACTAATGGTCTATAAGTTGTTATCGACCAGTCATTTTCTAAATTACGTAATTTTCTATTTTATAAGTTAATTAAATATGTATGTTTCTATTTAAAAAAATATAGTTGATATAGTAGGTAACAGGTTAATATAAGTTGGTAATGGTTCTCTATGACGCCGCTATCATAGATATGCAGTATTTATTGTCAATTATGACTTTATCAAGATATATGTATTCTGTATTGTCTGTTGATGTATTTATTGACTCAAAAAATGTGCCCTAATACCATTAATAATAAACGCTCCGTATTAGTGATAGTGTCGTCATAAAAAACCAATTAGCTACCGGTATTTGTAATTCCTTGTGTGTTATATATGTATATTAACTCAACAATTTGAAAGTTTAAAGTGTTCTATATTTTATAGATACAGAACATAAAAGAGTTTATGACATTCTACATTTTATGCATACATTTGATAAGGCCGGTGATAAAATAATACTAACTGGTGATGAACATCCAGTAAAATCATATATTAATTAATTCATTATCTTTTTACATGACTCAGTAATAAATTATTTTGAATTTTTAGATTATAAAACTGGATATAAATGAGTTAAAAATAGTGTTCGATCATATATCTGACATTGGCTTAAAAGACAATGGTTGTGTTGTAGAGGAGGAGAAATTCCATACATTGATTGATTTGTTTGGCTTCAGTGGTCTTATTAATGATGTAATTATAAATTTATTTACGTGTTATTTTGTAGATATTATTATTCAGGCTAATACGTACGAATTTTACAAAAGAATTTAGAATCATTTATGTGTAAATTTTCAGTAATTCTAGATTATTAACACGATGTATTATGTTAGCAAACGATATTTTCTATAAATCGATATTCTCTAAATATATGTCATCAAAAAATGGTTATAATAATTAAAAGCAATTGTAAATATTTAATCATCTTCATTCATTTCTTCTGTATTCAAAATTAATTTATAAAACATAATTTTTTTTATTTTAACATTTTTTTTTTAAATATAACAATTTTAATTTATATTTTTTAAAGTTTTAGCTTCGGTACGAAGCTGAGAGAAATTAATTTTACTAAGGTGTGTTTTTTTTATGTCTTTCACCACTATTTATTAGCTCTCACCGGCCCGATTTCTAACAACGATACGTCAAAAGATCAAACATCATATCTAGATAAAGAAATTGTCCTTGAAAATTGAAAACAATTCTCTCGTTCCCCTTAAATGGGGAAAATTTCCAAAATATTTTTGATATTTAAAATCGGTATATCTGTACTTTTTTTTTAAGTGCCATAACTTTTTAAAATGAACGAAATAATATAATTTTTTTGAAAATTTGTAATATTAATAAGAATGGTTCAAAACTTGAAACATACAAACTTTTAATGTAACTTACGAAAATAGATTTTTTTCAGCTTAATTTTTGAAAATGTTAAGGAAATACTGCGTTTTTTAAACATATGTTAGATTAGAACTTATCTTATATAGTATAACTTAAAGAAAACAATTTTTTTAGATGACTTATTTTCTATGTGCAAAAAGCCGTCGAGGTTGAACAAAAAATATGGGTTAATTTTGCTATAGGAATAGAAATTCGCCGTTTTAGAAATTCTTATATTGAATACATAGACTTCAAATAGAGCAATTTTTTTAGAAATAAATAAATTTTTGAGATATTTTCTTATTTTTTTATTCTATTGGAAACTGACCATGTATTATTACAGTATTACAATACTCATTTTAATTCCTAATCATCACTTATATAATATAAAGTCAATGAAGTACAATTCTTCTTTTTATTTTTATCTGTCCACAGATTAGTTGAAATAAAATGATTTCAATAGTAGTATTAGCATCAAAACTAGTAATTTTTCTTCTAAAAATGCGTAAATTATTGGCAATATAGGATTATATCTTTTATTATCATCTTATATTATCGTTATCAACGATAGTTACACATAATATTGATAAAAAAAAGTAGCTCTTTGATATATTAGTTTGCGAACCTAACAAAAACTTATTTAATCATAAATCATGATAGCGTTTTATTTCATTATTTATATTTATGTAATATATATTTTTTATATATTTATTATTTCATTATTATTAATATGTACTTGACGGTATCCGAACTATAATTTATGACATATACATTTAGACGTAATAACTTTTTACAAAACCTGGCTCTTAATTTATTTTTTAAAGTTTGATCCTTCCCTAAGCAATAGTTTTAAATGTTTCACTGAATTTTATTATTATGGAGAGCTTAGCTTATTGATATTATACTATTAATGGACTGTTATCACCTTTTTAGATAATAATCTGAGTTAGTTGACCTTCTATCGTTTCCATCCTCCTCCTACGATAATGTACATTTATGGATTGTGATATAAAATGTGTTTGTAAATAATTCATTTTTATATGAGTAATTAAGACATAATTTATCCTCTACGGTGGTAAATATTTTTATAAGCCGAAATTTTTTTGTTGAATTTTTAAAGCCCCGTGTCATTTTTTATTTATATAAAATTCCTTCAAAGTTTAAACTAAATTGGATGAACACGTGACACTTAAAGCAAAAATGTTGGCATAAAAACAAATTTATTTATATTTTGTCTTGAATTCGTTCAAACTTTAATCAGACAATAATTATATAGAATTATTTTATTATATTTTCTATTTTCTAAAAAGGATGACTATTTGATCTTGTTCATTAAGTTACGTAAACCTTCCCAGAAAAAATTAAAAACATTAAAAATTCATAAAAAATCTGGTATTTTATAAAATTTTCAATTTTACATCTTTGCGATTATTTTATATGCATTAATATTCGGTGGGTGGGCGATGGTCGCTATCGCCTCTCATCAAAAGTTTTTATTGACCAGTTATTTTCTTTATTAAAACATTTTTTATTTTAATATCTATTTAAATATTTATGTTGTTATTTAAAACAACATAGTTCACACCTTATAAGGTATAAGGGATGAATTAAAAAACAAAACCAACAAAAACTTTGTATAAAACAATTTTATAACTTTTTATAATTTCTCGGTAAAAATTACAATTATATTATATATCAAATTCATACTTTCTTTAATTACTTTAATAAGTACTAATTCATGTGTTGTACTTAAAAGAACATAAAATTTGTAGTCATGAAATAATTAAGAAAATAGGAATTGGTGTTGCTTTTGGAATAATTAAATAAATCTACTAAAAATTTTACACTATCTATAGACATACACTTAAACAAAAATTTCTATTAATCCATACATTTCTCAAGAAGTAATGTTAGTATAAAGTCGAAAAAAATAAAATATTAAATAAAAATGTTAACGCAAAAATAGTATGTTTTTTAACTACTGAAACTAAGTTGAAAAAGTTACATTTTTGTGAAAAACTGCTATTTTGAATTCCCCTTTGGCAGATAAAGGTTTATATTTGAAAAAATATATATTAATATATTTAATACGATGTATAATAAAATTATAATCTTGTATATTCTGTAGTTAAAAGCAAATTTCATTCAAATGATATACAATTATTTATTACCTATTGACTAATTTATAAAATAATTTATTGTGCTCACTTTTAGCAAAAATTGTATTTAAGATTCTTCCGTAGTTATTATTTTAATAAACTCTTCAATTAATGTAATTATTCTTCCAGTAGTATCATTAACCAATTTTGGATTCATTATAATGGAAGTTCCTTTAATGTACTAATCAATTTACTCTCAATTACTAGAATAAAAATGTTAAAAATCTTTTGGAATTTTAAATCTCATACGTAATTTGTTTATACCCCATTTAGACCCTTACCTGTTATAGCTTACTCACAATTAATTTAACTGATGTTTTTTAATAATTTGTATCTCAATGTACAATAATCGTTTCAATATTTATTAATAGTGTGATTAACTTTATCGTCATAAGATATGTACGATATCAGCTCTAAAATTTCTAATTAAATTGATTATAAAATATGATGGTTTAAATGAAACTGCTTCTAAAAAAGAATTTAATAAGTGATCATAAGCATCTCTATGCAACTAAATTTACATTTACTAACGCAGCTAATTATTTAAATCATTCTATTTAATATATAATAAGTATATGATTACTGATTATTGTATGATTATTATTATTATTATTGATATGTAAACTAATAATTATTAGTTTACGTATGAATAATAAATAAATATATCTAAATCAAAAAATATGTAACTAGCAGAATGTATTATGTACAGTATATCACTATAAATAATTATTTAAACACCAAAAGTGCATACAAATGATTACTAAGACTTCTATTTTAATGATTAATTACAATAAAAATACAAAAAAAATAGTGATTTTAACGAAATTTTTAGTTTTTTCATAAATTTACTGTTAAGAGTAATTATAAAAGAATCTGATCACATATTAATCTAAAAAATAGAATATTTTTTCCTCATTAATATTTTCTATTGTTGTATTTATATATGGAATAATCTTTTTGTTCTAACTTATAGTTATAACAGTTCAATAATAACGCAAAATGTAATTAATAAAGACATAATCAAACAAAATAAAACATATAAAATAATGATACACTTAAAACAGAATAAATAAATAATACACAAAATGAAAACTTAAAGTCACAAACGTACCACGCGGAAAGAGATTACCTTCGTAACTCCCGAGTCTTCTCTCTCTCCTCTTTCAATTTATTCCATTTCATCTTATATAATAAAATATTTTGTTTGTCTTTTTATAAAATTCATATAGTAATAATTTTCAAAAAGGTTTATAAATATTTACTTCCTGATCTAGTAACAATAATTCGGGGAATTACAATTAGTCCAAATATTACAAAAGTGTTCTACTTCTAGGTTTACAAATAATAGACTATATTATATTTTTGTAATAATAGATCAAGAAATTCATAGTTAAACCATACATTACAAAAAAGCTTTGTTTTCAGTTTTACAAAATAATGACCTATATTACACTATTTAATAATATAAATTCTAAACATGGAAGTTGACCTGAAATTGTGTTTAAAAGTTTCAACATTTCTTAATTATAAACTATCATAAAAGCAACTTAAAAAAATCAAAAAAATATGTTATATTTAATGAATACAAAACCCAATCAGAATAAATTATATTTTATGACAAACCTTGAGTGTTTAGTGCACGTTTTAATGAATTTTAATAGAGTAAAAGTTTTGCAAGTAATTTATTTACATACAAATGAAAAGGAAATTGTTAAGCGACTGTTAAAATTGAAAATTGAAAAATATGGTCCACTCTAATACTCTCGTTATTAAATACGCTCTTCTACTTAGGCGTACTACTATAAATTATTTTGTATATTTTAGGATGATACACTGGCTGTTTGGAAAACAAACATTAAGGAAGATTGTAATTATTTAACAACTTATTATAAAAAATCTATAATTTTATTTATATTTTTATATTTTTTAGATAAATACGATTTAAGTGAAGTATTGATAGAATTATTAGGATACCAGGCACAATTGTATAAATGGAAATTTGGTAAAATAGAAGATCTGAAAATTTTCGACGAATTTATTAAATATGCCTTAATGGATCACACCTCTGATCAAATAAAGCCTAAATTAGTATTACTATTAAATAATTAAAATGTAATTTCTATGTCCAATCATTTATTGTATTTCATTAATATTTTTATTGCTTTAAAGTAACTTAGATCCCGTTTTTTAATTTATTGTTCACTTTGTGCCATTTTATAATTATTCTTTATTAATTATTTTTATTATCTTTATTTATTAACAGTGTACTCTTTCATTTGTTTTTTAGTAATGTTTAAAATAATACGCTAACGTTGTTATTTGAACGCTGTGTGGGTTAAATTTCATTTTATGTCAAGTTCATATTGGCGTCTAGTTTTTTGCATATTATTATAAATATTTAATAATCGCTTATAAAAAAGCTTCATTATTATTTTGTTCTTAAAACAGCATTTAAAAGGAAAATTTTATTTGAATAGTATACAAAAATCTAGTAAACAGTCTGTATTTCAGTTTGGACTGCGAGATATTCCGAAAAACGAAAAAATCTAAATAAAAATTGATTATAATTGTTCCAATTCATTGTATAATTTCATATAAAATCCAAAATTACTTTTTTAGAAATGATTTATACAGTGAAATATTATTAAAAATTTGGATCATTACATACTAATAGAAGACTACACAAATAGAGTCAAGAAATTCATAAATAACAAAGAAAAAGTATTTAACTTTGTAGAAACCTATTATCATTTTAAATCTAACTCGACATTTAATTTAAAAACAATAAAAATGAATTATTTTAATTGTCTATTTAGTGTAATAAACAAAAATTAACATGATGAAGTAGGGATATATTTGTATAGAGGAGTTGTGAGTAAGGAGTGAGTTAGAGTTGAGATAGTATATGGGGATTTTGGAGTGTAATATGTATAGTAAAGAGTAGTCTTAATAATTTAAACTACTCAGTAAAGTTATTCCTATTTTACCTTTTTCTACTCTTATTTACTATGTGAAGTCTTAAAGAGTAAAACATGTAAATAAATTATGGTGCTTACTTTTATTCCCTTAAGTAGTCATTCGAATTAATCTTGTATTAACTTCTCGGTTCAGTGTTAACAATCGTTTGTAGATTTTTTCATTTATTTTGATTAATTAGATTTATGTATGTATTAAATCTAAATCATCAGTTCGCGCTTTCATCACCTTGACAAAATACTTCGTTCATAAAAAACACGTTTAAAAATATTTTCTCCAATGTGACCTGTCTCTATTATGATTTATTTTTTTTTTATACTTTTAAAATTATACTATGTTTTTATTAATAATATATTTGATAAATTCCTTATAGTCGATTTTGATATTCTTAATACTTATTCTGAACTTGCCATAATAAAATTTTAAGAATATGTCTATCTATATTCAAAATATAGTGAACAAGATTGTGGTGGCTCAGCGTAAGCCCTTGGCTGGTACGGTCACAGTTAACCTTGATTATATATATTAATTATTATTATAATACACCTCTTAATTATTATTGAATATTTCTAATGTGGACATTTTCTATCGTTTTTATATACTAAATATATATTATAAGTAATGATCTATATCCAGATTAACAGTTGGACAATTTGCATATTGATAGAAATTGCACACTAAAATATATAATAATTGAAACACACTTGTGTTATCAGTATTACTCTGTACATTAATTGCTTATGCGTTACCTAAAAGGTAGGACTCAGCCCTACGACTAACGGATACACAGGCATAAATTGGTTATACCGAATAAAATAATATATATAATAATGTTTCAATGAACCAAGTCGGACTTTTCCGAATATTATAAATAAACAGACAATGATGTAATGTGGCTGGTGCCCCAAAATAATAATATAATAATAATAATAATATAACAATGCTATATTATATTTTAGTAATAGTAGATCAAGAGATTCATAATGCCATAATTTTAAAAAATGTTTATAATTATTTACTTCTTGGTCTAGTAACAATAATTTGGGGAATTACAATTAATCTAAACATTACATAAGTGTTCTACTTCTAGGTTTACAAATAATAGACTATATTATATTTTTGTAATAATAGATTAAGAAATTCATAGTTAAACCAAACATTACAAAAATGCTTTGTTTTCAGTTTTACAAAATAATGACCTATATTACAACTAAAGAGGTTAATAATTGACCTAGTTATTCGACTACTTGATTATCTGACTCAAAGATAAACAAGGGAAATTAGGTTTTAAAATATTGAACTAAATAGTTATATAGGAGTAAGGCTGCAATAATCGAATTTTTATTCAAAATATATTGATATTTATAAAACTATATTTTACAGGGAGAATGATCGAGATGTAGATCATAATTCAAAGTAGAGAAGTTCTATGACAGCGAAGAAGTCTTCGATAGAATTATTAATTAAGATGACCCGTCGAATGGACCTCGAAGAATAACTTCATTTTAATTAATAATTAATGGATTTTAATAAGTATATTATAAGTATATATAAATAATTAGTACACGATTGTTTATACCAATCTTTGTTTCCGAAAGGGGTAATTTTAAAATTGGAGTGTGTCTAAATTTTTTAAATGTTACCTAGGGAACCCACTGGGCGAGACAATGTAATGTCGGACCACAGTAGGATATTTTAAAAGAAAATTAAATTTTGTACATTAAAAAAAATTTAAAAAAAAATTGAAAAGTATTAAAGATTGAAGTCGATGTCCGTTGAGTCGTTGATAGTTGATGTACACCAAAACCTCGTGACAGTTGTCACATAACCATATAGATCAGGAATGACCTTATACAAGGCCATTGCCCGTATCTTACAAACTAAGGGAAGTTGGTTTTTGAAAGGAAAAAAGATAAAAAAAATACACGAGTCCATTGAAGATGGAACACGCAAAAAAAAAATACAATGATAGTTAAGTTAAATTAAGGGGACTTTATTAAAAAAAAAAATTAAGTTAATACGAGGTAAAAAACCGAACGGTCAAAAAACCTCGTCTAAAAATTAAAGGGTATTAGAGAAAAAAAAAACAGATATTAATAAAAAAAAATACTAGTTACACCTACACTTTTATTATTAGAGAATACGATGAACGTCTTCAGGTACCTACCGGCTATTAATCGCGGCATTACCGCTAAGCACGGTGGTTATACGCCCCAAGTAAGCGACTGGTTTTAGGCAGTTAGACTTAGCTTGCAAGACGTTGGGACACCCCGGAATAAAGTGCACTACGTCACCACATTGTACTAATGATATACAGGGTGTTCAGTAAGTCAGGAAACGGGTATCTATTGTTCTCATTGTTTGTAACAATGAGAACAATAGATACCCGTTTCCTGACTTACTGAACACTCTGTATACGCATCATCCCAGAAAACATAATTATACAAAACCTATACAAAAAAAATCTAGATATAACATGACAGGTAGTCTTGTAACACCTGCCATGTTGTGGAACCTAAATAAATAAAGTAAGGGGCTCCTAAAAAAAAATATAACAAAATAAAAAAAAACATTTCGCCACATTAATGGCGCATTAACAAAAACAATAATAGGTATGGCTCAAAAATAATAAATTATACATTACTAGCCCCGAAGGGCTACAGAAAATGGAGGCAGGATTAGCCGACGCCATAAATAAAAAATTACATACAAAAAAAAAATAGCGGACACTCATGAAAAATAAATATAAAATTAAAATGTTGCAGCGCACACAACAACAAAAAAAACTCACGCTACGGACGGGAAATAGTGCGACCAGTTCCGACTATGGCTATTCCCTGACAAAACTTCTGTCGTTTGACTCGGCGGTCCGTTGGCGACAACACGGCTAGCCTTTACAGTGGGGTCAACAAATTTTAATACTCAGTGCCGGAAATTATTAAGAAAAAATTGAATTTTCACAATGTAGGCGACAATATAGGTGGTGAGCAGTGCAAATGACGTTCAAGATAGGAAAAGAACGGGGTGAATGTACACACAAATGCCGTCCGTGAATCGGTCTGAAGTAGTACACAGCTGACTATCTCGCACTCGCACAAACTGATAAACGCCGTCGCAGTACGCATTCGGCTCAACACAAATATATATATATATTGTAACGTAATAAAATTATCATGAGTATCAGGTCACAGGTAACTGTATTCAAACAGTGCGCGTCGTACATCCGTAGGTTCAGTGTTGCACATACACACATAATTATTGATTAAATTGATCTATATTTCCTACCACCTGTGATTCTCATCCTAAAAAACCATAATGATGAACACACTGTCAAGTACCCTCTCCCATGTGTGATCAAGCCGGCATAAGAAAAAATCACGGTTATGTTCAAAAAAGAATTTCTCAACATCATCATTATTAACATCTACGCTTGTTGACCTAACATCATCATCTTTGTAAAATTTTTCTGTATGTTGCCGTCCAGTTTAAGGATGGAGTAGTAGTTTGTCATTTTGGCTTGGCCATCATTATGGCACTGTATACAATCAACAAGATTTGGCCATCTCAACAATAATATGGTATATCTTCCTTTGGATTTTTTTTCTCTTTGCACAATGTGCTCATGTAAAATTATTTATGTTATATTTTATTTGGTTAACTGACCACATGGTATGTTTTTTTTCTTCTTATCTTAGTTACTGACTATATAAATTTTAATTATGATCAAGTCTTTTCCGTTTCTTTGATTATTCTTTCGTGACCTGACAGGTCCTCGGGTGTGGTCAGGGTGAACATGGTGAACATCTCAATGGGTTCCCTACATTTATGTAGGGAATACCCATTGACGTTGGTGACATGTCCATTTTACCCTGACCCATGCGTTGGATCTATCATGCTCAGGTTACCCTACTATTTGATTCTGTTTTTCTTTTATCTTGTTAGTACATTCTTAAATAAATTATTTAACATTATGCCAAAAGTTATTTATCCAGAATTCGGTATATCAGCAAATTTGTCTGATAATGAACATTTAAATAGTGTCTAGGTGAATACTATATACGAATCATGTATCGTTACATTACTTAGAAAATCCAGAGGCCTTTCTGATGCCTGGATGTCTGTAGACATTTAATTTTAGATTGGTGCAATGAAACACAATTTACTGTTTTACAGTTATATGTGGCAAACGCTAAAGTTTAAGTAAAATAAATAATTTATGGGACAAAAAATATTATTGACTGAATCATTTTGGAATATACTTGTGGCATACTTATTATGTTATACATACTATTAATCCTATAGTTTCTTGGGAATCCTTGACCTTAAGTTAATTGTTCATAGTGTTTTTTTTTTTACATTTTGTGTTTAACATAAAATTTGTTATTTAATATATATATATATAGATTTTTCTTTCTATTATTTTATGATTATATATATATATTCTTTAGTAGCATGTTTTAATTTTTCAAGAAATTGTATTTTGTTATGATAATTACAAAAGTAAATCATAATATTTAATAAAATCTAAATATTGTTATCTTAAATTATTACTAGTCTTTATAACCTTTCCCCATAGGATAAGGTACAAAATCCCTGGTGCTCCGGCCTTGCCTCGGCCCAGGGTGGACCAACTCATTTGGTTCTTGTAAAGTGAGGCTGATTTATATTAGTTTGACTTACAATATATATATATATATAGACAAAATAATAAATAGATACTTTTTGTCACGTTATAAACCTAAAGAATAATTACATTTTTAAGAATTTTTAAGAGTTGGAACAGCACAATATAGTAATATTCGTTTTAAGAAGCAAAACTTTGTCTGCAACTTTAAACAATTAAAAATTATTCAAAGATAAAAGTTTTTGTTTAGTTTATTCAAATTGTTTCTTTAATAATTGGGGTAATGTTTTTCTAATATATTTGATTTTATTAATGTCATTGACCACGTTCCCATCAGATAGGTGAATTAGCGCGATATCAAACATGCTCTTAGGATTACAGCTGTGAACCAAATAAATTGGTGTATAATTCGTAACCGAATGTGTTAAAGTATTATGAGTGTATACAACGTACGGTAAATAAATAGTCTACCTCCTTATTGTTATTCTGGACGTAATGTGATATGTCTATAACTGGTTGATTTTGCCTCTTCACCTAAACTTGTGAAGTAGGATTGTACGGAATTCCGAATTTTTTGTCTACCCCATATGCGTCCATTAGGTCTAAAACCGTTTTCGAATAAAATGAGTTCCATTATCCTAGTTGGACTAAATCTGAAAAATAAGTCTAAAAGAAATTTGTTAGTACTACGCGCATTGGCATTTGTAAATGGTTGCTACGCAAAATGTTGATAAATGATCAGTAGCTA